AAGAAAAAAAAAAAGAAAACTGTTCAACCGATGGCATAACCACTTCTCTATCTCTGTCGAGCTTGTACGCAATATACTTCTCCAAATTTGTGCTTCTTGCTCGCGCGTGTGCTCGTTAAATAAATGATTAGTAGCTTCATTCAAAATGGTGGTAGGCGAGATCAGTGGCAAAAATGAAATATCAGATGAGTCGAGCACATGCAATGACTCGTCGCGTCGATCACGCGTCATACCGCGCCGATTCTCGAAACGATCGAAAACGTTCTAACGATCCGAGGGACGAGTTCACCGAAGAAATTCAATTTCACGCGCGATTAAGTTGCAAAACGGCGTCGTCTTCCGTTAACTCCTTGCCTTATGATATCTTTCGTAACTGAACTTCTTAACGTGACTTCGTTATTAGTAATGTATTATTAATAATTCTTAAAATGTCTTTATTATGCATAATTTACCATAATTCTTAAAACGATGTTAGAAATAATGCATCCATTAGAAATAATAAAGAATTTAACGTTCATCTATAACAACATTCACTTGAAAATACAACAATCAAGAAGAGAAAAATAATATTCAATTCGAACTCGAAAGCACCGAGTAACGTTTATTTTCGTTAACGTACGTTTAAGAAGATCTTCCCCGTGATTCTGGCACGATATTATATGGCAAGGGGTTAATTCGAACGTACCGCGGCAGTTCGATCGTGCAAACGATAAAATTCGCCGATTTACACGCGGACGATAATCTTTCCGTTATTTCGACGATGCGTAACGATCGGGAAGTAAATTTTCGGCCACTCGTTCGGCCGTGGCGAGCTTCTACGAGCGTAATAAAGTTGCAGATTTACGTGACAAATTATCGCGCGCGAGGTCGTCGAGTTCGGCGCCCGCCCGGGTTACGAAAACAACGATCCCACCCCGAGATTATGCACATGCGACACGCGGGGGGAGGGAACGTGAGGGTGGATTATGTACAAGAGATGGCCGTAATAAATAAACCGGTGAGCCACACCCGCGCCGAAATGAAACGTATGACTGAAGAAGCCCCCTTTTCCGGCCCCCAACATCATCTCTCACGCAGAATGGCACGTGACAACTTGGCGCGTGGACAATGATATTAACAAACCTGACAGCCAATTAGTAAGAAAAAAAAATGAAAAAAAAGAAAACAAAACGCAACGAATCCTTCCGGTCGCTGGTGGATTATTTTGCTATATTTTTTAGTGGTTTAACAGCGCCGCTCGTTAACTTGTGTGGTAGCAAGCATCGAGTCTCCTTGGTTCGAACAACGGACAAAGACGTTTAGTATGTTTACTGACATCACTTACCTGCTTCGAGCACCCAGCGATAATATAGCAAGTAATTATTCTTCGACGCGGCAGCGTTATTTAACCGCGAGCGGAATTATTCATTGATTACCGATTTTGTGAAGAATTGTATTTGATTATGAAAAGAAATGTACTATTTACATTCTTTGAACAAGCTATTTTCTACGAATCTTTAATGCGTGAAACGTTGAACGTTGTTTTTTATAAGAATTTGAAAAATATATCGTTCTCCCTCTTTTGTCAAAAAATGAGTATTTTCTTTTATTTTTTGATCAAGTTAATTAATGGAAGTGGTTTGAAACTCAAGGTACGCGAAGAAATATTGTATTCTACGCAGATACTTCCATGCCAAGTAAGAAGCGTCACCGAAGCAATCGCCATGCAACAAGCAGCGCAACAGTGCCATTTTTATGTACATGCAGCAAATGAAAAGAATAACCATGCAGACACACTCACGCATAAGCTGATATTAACGAGCTTACGTAGAAGCATGCGACGAGACAACTTATGGAAACAATAGGAGCATTAGTGAATGGAAATGTGTTTCCCTGAAGTCTTTCTATTCTAATGATCGGTACTGCTAGAGCCAGAAGCACTCTTATCGACGACATTCCATACGTACCAAACATTGACGAACAGCAACGTGAGATTACGTTTGATTGTAAACAAATTTCCTTTGCAAATTAATAGTTTATATCAAAATGTCTTTTAACAAACTTATTTGATCATAGAAATTGATAAATTCTATTTACCACGCTCACATTGCTTTTCGTCGATCAAACTTTGATAACTCATTACCATTTTTAACTATCTACGTAATAATCCCATGAAATTTTGACAGCGACATTATACGATCAATGAGATTTGATTAAAGTGTTCGGTAGTATATATTTATGTCGGCCGTCATCCGAATGTTTGAATACTAGAGTCTACTTATGCAACTAATGCACGATAAACGTCTAAGAATACCATACAATACTGACCATCTTGGTCTTCATGCAGGGTTGAATGCATGGAATGGATGGAGTCCAGTTTTCGTTTGATTCCGCGGCCGAGGGCATGTTCCCTGCCCTCGCACCTCACTGTGCTCACCACACCTTCCGTCTGCTTCAACGTCTCTGTCGTATAGATCTGTCAAATACAACTCGATCAACTCAGGCACAAGCCTACCAATCTCATGCTAATAATTCAATTCAATCTAACGACTGCCCGGAGTCGCGCTTGTCTCTATCGATTCTCAAAATCCCATATTTCGTTTTCCTCCGACGAGGTTCTCGCCGATCTTTCAACCGAGCGTGATCCGACACAAACGAAGTACAAAACAGATAAACGTAAATAAAGGGAACACTGAATGTAAACACAATTCTACTGAAACGTGAAAAATTCTCGTGTCCAGCTGGATTAAAAGATAAAAAGGGGGAACGCGACCACGATAGACAAACGGAAAGCTCA